AAAAAAAAAAAAAAAGGAAAAAAAAGGTGAAAGAAGCTCGAAAAACAAGTACCTCCCACCAATCCAAGCAATCGATAGCATCCACGAAGAAAGTTTCTTCATTTAACTCTTTTCTCGCATTTCTAAAAGCCCTCAACATAACCATTGGCTCCCAACTCAAACCGGAACCTTTCGAAAGCGAGTCTCGAACAATTACAGGTTCGCCTTTTCTCCAGTGCATTTGAAAATGTTCCAATGCGCCAGCTTGCAAATCGAGAGCATTAGGACAGTACAAAAAGTTATCTCGATTATTTCGCCTGTTTGCTGCTTTTCGCGCTTCGCAAAATTCATTGTCGACACAAACGGTACATTTCTGAGAGAAGTCTTTATCCGGAAGGCGGTAATTACGAGTAAATCTTTCAGCAGTCGAAATTAATTCTTCGATATAATTAGGAACTAAAATGCGCTTTAATTGAAAATTCGGAGTTCCACAGAGAGGACACTGTAGGCTCGTTTTTTGGTACTTATTGTTCGTTTTATTTGAAGAAATTGTTTTGAGGTCATTACAACAATCAAGACATACATCATAGGAACAACCATCGCAGCTTCTATGGAAATTGACGATCGACGTCTTGCAGTTATCGCTGTTGGATAAGATTTTTGTATTAAGAAATGCAGTTATTGTATTTTATATTTTATGGCGAAATGTGATTTTTCGAAAATAAATAATTGAACAATAAAAAAGCTTCATACCAATATATCTGATCATCTTCAGAAACAGGAATGTCTTCTTCCTTCATCAGAACACCTTAAAAAACAGGAGCAACCGAGCAAGACTTCATCAATCATTACAAAAAGTTCGTTTTTTTAGGGAAAAAAAAAACGAAAAAATTCTGTAGTATTTAGTTAGTACTTAGTACCTCGCATTCTGAACTCAAAATCTAGCTCAAGTTTTTGCTCGAATTGTATAAGCTTAAGTAGAGGAAGAACGTTGAATAGCAAATAAAGGGATCTTTGCAGTTTGATGTTCCCATCGGCTTCTTTTTGGCAGCAGCCCTAAGAGAAACAAATCACAAGAAAGCATGTTATGTGCCTTCAGCTGATAAAATGGGATCAGAAAAAAATAAAATAAAATAAAAGTATTAAGAATTACAAAATTACGAACCGGCAAAACCACATCTGCTTGAAGGCAAGCTTCGCAGTTGCAATTCCCACAGCAAAACGGGCACAATTTCTCAACTTCTTCATTCATTCTATGAGGATACCTATAGTTTTAAAACATTTCCAATCATACAAACATATTTTTTATCAAACATTTTAAGGACAGTTGCAAAGCTTCACAGCAGAGTGTGGTGATATGTTATAATACAAGTTCTTACTAATTTCGGAAGTAATGTTAATCACTAACCATCCACACAAAAACAAAAAAGCATGCACATTAAAATAAAAAATTGAAACACCTAAACGCCAATGGATGAGATTTTTATTTATTCAGCTTAGTTTACCACTTTGTAATGCACTCAAAGCAGTAACATTTTCGTTTGCAATTCGAGCAGATGATAACACTATTTTTGTTACTCTTCGAGCATTGGTGGCACGTAAACCCACGCAGCTCCCTTTGAATCGTGGAATCCTGCAGGAAAGTACAAAAATATGTTATTTTAACAGAAATAGACATCACGAAATCAACGTAAAGTAGTACGGATTTTTACAAAAATATGTTATGTTACGTTTCTGTACAATATGCATGCATCAGCATTATATCCGGTCAAATTAGATACTTAGAGTCAGTTCGAAAAAATGAAATTCTAGAGAATCAAAGTCAATTTAATTTGACACCTAGAGAAAAGGAAACTATTAACTATTCTCATTGGAGTTAGATCTATTAGCGGCGAACATCGAAAGGTGCCTCGTTCAGAAATTGGTCAAATGACATTCTATCAACGAGTCTTGTAATCTATCAAAACGGCATTCTACAGCAATAATTGGAAACTACGCAAGCCATTTTTTTTATTTTTTTTTTACACCGAATTTGTAAACCATTGTAATATACCAAATCTAAAAAACTCACCAACAATCCCGAAGCCAAAAAAGTTGTCCTCTTCACGCTACCGTTTCGTACTTCTTCCTCTTCCATGCATGCAAAACCTCGAGGAGACTCGTTTAAGTACTTTGTTTTCGATCTCCCTTTACGCCTATTGATATTATCCTCGTTATACTCATCCAACACTTCCATAAAATCCTTCTTGAGCTTCCCATTATCCGCCTTTCGCTCTAAACGTTCGCCAACAACCTCAATCCCATCCTTCATAGCAAATCTAACATTACTTTTACCCATTTTCTTCTTACCATCACACCTCTTATAATTTCTCTCGTTTACCTCAGCTCCAAACGTACAAGCATCGTCCTTCTCAAAACCAATTTCCTCTGTATCTTCACTCACTTCTATTATTTCAACATTCGCCTTCTTATTGGTGGAACCTTTCGGCCTCCCACGTCCCCTGACCACCTCAAAAATCGAGTCTTGTTTTTCGATCCTTTCGATTTTGACAAATCGTGCCGCAGTTTCAACTGCTCGGGCCTCGGTTTTCTTCTTATTTGTTGAGCCTTTCGGCCTTCCTCTTCCCCTCTTCTCTGTCTCAACCAAATCATCTTTTGTTCCAATAAACCTGATTTTTGCCTCGATTTTCGGACCTCCCGGCCAGCCCTTCTGATTAATCGACACCTCATCGTTTTCCCCATCATTTTCCGAGCCCTCCGGCCGAATTCTCTTCCTCCTGGAGCCCCGGCGAGCTCCATTGGCCTGAAAAACAGAGTCTTTGGCATACTCGCCGTGCTTTCGCTTCCGGCCGCCGGAGTTTTCTGGGTTTTCAATTTTCCCCTCCAGCTTTGCCCTCCGGCGACTGTTCTCCGACGTGTGGTGCTTCTCACACAGGGTTTCGCCGATAAGGGCCGGAAGGTTGCACCTCCAGCTCCCGCCGGCGCTGAGTTTCTTGCATTTTGACGACGACGGCGCCATAGCTCTCGACGAGAAAATGAAAATGGGAAATCAGAAACCCTAGCCCAGGAGGAAAATCTTGAGGGGGAAAAAAAAGGAAAGATTTTTAATAAATGCGTAAACTCTGCTAAAGGAGTGTAAGTCGATTGCTCTCATTTGTTACATTATTGCAAGGATTGTACAAAAGTATGCTAAACAGATTCGAATTTGGAAAAATGTGTAACATTATTTACAAAGATTACATATATATATCTACATATTTTGTAACGTTTTTCTTCTTCTTTTTTTGTTTCCTTCTTTTGTGTCTGCACTTAGCACGAGGACAAAAACAAAGGAGTTCTTTGTCTGGTTTTTCTTGGTGATTTGAGTATAGCTGCTGAGGCTTTTTCGGTGCGGTTATGTGCAGTGCGGGGGGACTTTGGAAGGGGAATAAGCGATTTTTTAGTTGGAACTGGAGGGAACTGGAGAGAGTGAGACCGGCGGGTAATGGAGCTGAAGGGTAAATATATTGGTATTTTGTTTGTACGAGGTCAGGCGAATCTTTTGGGATATTTCTATCCGTCATCCTATGTTGTCTTGACTCTGGAAAATTGGAAAAGAAAAGGGGTATAAATGGTATTTACTAGGTTTGAGTATCATTTGAATTTCAAAATAAATGTATTTTAGGTCTATTATGGAATTCACTTAATTCAATTTAATATTGTAGTTTTATATTTTTAATTTAGAATTAAGTAGAATAAAGAAAATAGGTGTATGAAATTTTTCCTTTTCCCAAAAAACCTATTTTATATAATTAATTTGAATTTAGACGTATCAAACTAGCACAATACCCTGAGTATAAAAAAAATATACTTAAATTTTTAAAAAAAGTTGAACGATAAGTTTTCTTTTTATATTATATATATGTATTTAAAATGAGATTTTTCATTTGTACAATTCATATATTATAATATTTTTTTAATTCATATGTAATGAATTCATAAATAAATTTGAGTGTTATATAGTTTTACTAATTTTCAATATGTAATGAATTCATTTGTACCATTTTAGCATTTTTTGACATGCGGAAAATATATATAATTTTAGTGGGTTTTCTGGATTGAAAGTCAGCGGGCTTGTCACGTAATATCCTCGAATCTGAATCTAATAAATATTTGTGGGCTCACTTGTTTTATTAACATTCATTATCGATGGGCCCTTTTAATACGTCTGATAAGCCCACAGATTCTGAGGTTGATATTGGATATGTGTGTGTGTTAGAGAGAGAGAGAGAGAGAGAGAGAGAGAGAGTTCATTAATGACTTTTTTTAAACATACCAACTCCGTTATTTTGTTTTTAATTTATCAGAGTAAAACTTTAAGATTAAATTCAACCATTACTACATAAACCAAGAAAAAAATCTCACAAAGAGAAAAAGAACTCCAACAGGAAAACAGCAAAATCTCATGTTGCCAAAAGCCTTTGGAAATACTGATTGGGTTTTCATCAAAAGGTACTTAAAGCTGAAAAACACTTTCTGTATTAGAAATCAATGGTTTTGGCCTTTGGGGAAACCATTCATTCACTTCAAACATTTTGCTAAAACTGCTATTGGTGCTTGTCAGCTAAAAAAATGCATTTTCAAGTATTGACTAATCACACCTTCCTAAATTCAATCGAAAACATCGACACATTGCGCCTAGGTTGAAAACGTCAAGTGCCTTGAAAGCGTCTTTTAGTTCATTTTCTAATTGGCCGAGTCTTGAACTCCAGAAAATCATCATCTAGGGGTCGATAGGCGTCCCGCCTGAAACTGTTCGACACAATATAAAGAGATCAACTTTTCATCTTCTGTCACAAGTAAAGACTTTTCAAAAATAAAGAAATGTATTTGTCATAAATTTAGTTTTGACTTTTGAGACTATCCCACAAAAACATATCTTTGAAATGCTGAATATAAGCCAAAAAGTAGTCGGATTTGAAAACAGAAAAACAAACAAATAGATCATAGCCCGATTTACTATGTTAGAACTTAGAAATCATATAGAATCAAGGGCGGGGATGGAGATCGAGTATAAGTGACAATTTGTAGAGGTATGAGAGTTTGTGCTTATTTCGGGACAATATCAGCATTTTACTGCATTTTGATCAATAGTCGGATAAGAAATGCAATATTTCCATTTTCTTCAGCACCAAAAAGAAAAAGAACAAGAAATACAAGCAAGATTACCAGATAATGTGCCCCGTGAATAGAACAAACGTTAAATTGAGGTATTACCTGAGCAGCATATGATCCACTTTCAGCAATAAACTGGACAAATTCCTTCTTTTTTATTTCATAGTTGAGCTTTGTATGATCTAACAGAGCTAGCTCTCTCTGCATATCTTCTCCTGCTCGTTCCTTCTTCCACTTCGTCTCCTTAAGTTTATTTTCAATTTCAAAATAGGTCGCTGGGAGACTCCTTTTGGAGTCACTAGGAAACTTGACATCTATATCCCTACTGACGAGTTAAAATCAAGATGTAAATAAATGAGCAACAGAAAAGTATGGGAATGCGTGTTTGAACAAGAACAACTCGGGAGGAAATCATAAAGACTACACACCCCCAGGGAGGGTTCAATTATAAGGAAAACAAATGCCAATGAGATCTTCATTATTCTGGAAACTTTTATTTCCTCTCTCTCTTCTCTCTCTCTCTCTCTCTCTTATTTCCTTGTCCGTGTGTATGTGTGTGATCAGACTGAATCATCAAAGATAGCTTTTGTAGTTAATTTTTAACTTCTCCAATTTGCAATAAATAGATAAAAGACAGAAAATCCAACTAAGGTTGGAGCTTCAAAGAAAAGGCGTATCATTTTATATTAAGATTTGAAAGAAACACATATCAAGAAATGCAGTCTTCATCAAGAGTTGACAGTTAGGAATTTAGGCGAAGCATCTCACTTGTGATGACCCAAGGAGAACATCCCGGGACTTTTTATAATCCCTCCATCGAGAGATATGGCTCCATGGGCAATATAAGGTCGAGCCTTTAGCATGTCGTCTCTTGATCTGTATACTTGCAAATCCAAGAAAAGGTTGTAGAATAGCGTCTCTCTCAGACTGTGTTTGTTTTTTGAGGTAGAATATAAGTAAGTGCCATCAATTGTCACCATATTGACAGCAAAACCAAGAAAGCCGGCAGGAGTTTCCCCACTAGTTGATCTTGGCTTCAGAAGATCAAGCCTCCGTTGGGGGTCATCAGTTATTATCTGACCAGTATATGGTCTGAATAAGAAACCCCAGAAGAGGATGTATAAATTACGAAGGTGGATTAATATATATGAAGCTAACTGGTTAAATTCAAAAAGAAGACCTCAAAACCAACAAACAAACACACACCTTAGATTTTCAAGACAAATGATGAGGAATCGGTCATCCAGAGGCCGTCCAGCTAATGCAGCTAGGGCATGAATGCCTGAACCTTTGTTAATTGAACCATCTTTGGTGTATCCCTCGAGAGCTTTGACTCCTTCATAGGTCTTGCAGACCACTGCTAGCATGGTTTCAAAACCCAAATACTCTGACAGAAGCCTAAAGTACATATTTTTAACAACAAAATACATATAAGTTGTTTCTCAAATACCATCCCTGCATATTTTAAGAACTACAGTTGTTGTTTGAGGTACAAAATATAAAATGTTTCAATGATCTCCAGGAACTTATACTTCTTACTGACCCAAATTTATTTCTTCTTGGTTTCTTTTTCTTTTTAATTTTATTTCTTTTTCTTTTTTAATTTTAAAAACACTCCTCGCTCCTCGTGCATGGCCTCACAACAAGCAAGCAAGTCATATCTTGATGTCCACATTTAAAAAACATTATTGTAAAAAAAGATCATGGTAAGTTGTGCAATGAACAGTACATTCAAAGACATTATGTTCAGGATTAGGTGTGTTATAAGGGAAGAGGAAAGGTAAGAGTAAAACTACTCAGACCAACCTGCTAAGGTTAGCATCACCAACTTTGCCAAGTATAGCAACAACACCGAGCACATCTTCAGTCAATGAGTGATCAGAGGCCTGCGCCTCACGGTTATATTTCATCTTACACAACAAGGCTGCTGCAGAATTCTCGTACTTCAAGATCTGCTGAAGTATGTCTTCCTCACTCTCCATCGGGACAGGGCCTTCATTTTCGCCTCTAGGAAATTTTGCTGTATGATATTTCCCAATAGCAACTGCATGAAAAGTAGGTTAGACGGCCACATGAAGATTAATCACTCAAAAGCAAGTACGATTACTAGAAGAAGAGAACTACAAAGATGTAACATCTATGCAACAAAAATTTTGTGAAATTCCTTAGTACAAAGATATGAATGAAATATGTCATAAGTTCTGGGTATGAAATTCTTTCAACATTTTGGCTCGACAATGAGGTTTTCGGAAAGGAATTTGGAAACTAAGATACCTTGCATATCAAGGATTGAGTCATCTAATTTATTCTTCAGATTTTTTAAACATTTGATATTGTCTTCATGGTGCTTAATTCTTTGACCAAGTTCCTGCAAGTCATCCTGAAGTTTCTGCAACAGTTAAATCATTTCGTGTCAATACATTGCCAAGATCATACTACAAGTAGTTACAGAGGCAAGTTATGCTTTCATTTGAAAAAAAGACATAAACAGATATCAAACACAATATTCACAGGCATGAACTTCACCCTAGTAGACAAAAGACAAACCTGCGAGTGGTTTATCATTGACGCGGGGTTCTGACCATGGACTGGACCATTATGTACCTCTTCCTTTACAAAGGGATACTTTTGTCCAACATGCCTTAATGCTGACGGGTCAGAGACGACCAATGCCCTGGAGTCGATTGACATCTGGCATGACAACAGAACTAATCAGCCATAAATACGACTAGCATACACGCAAGCACAAAGCACATATACACACTTATGGTTATTAGGAACATCCACGCAAAAAGATGCAATGTGATCTGAAAGTTTCTTCAAGAGGATAATATACAGACATGAATTACCCTCAAGCCTATATGGTTTCTCTGCAGATCATGGAGTTAAGGTTGTGATTAGAATCAAATTCATTTGAAACCATTTCTCAACTTGAGATTTCGTAAGATTTTTGCAAAAGGCTTAAAAATTACCCTATTCACTCACTTTCACTCTTTTCTTCCACCAATACTTTCACCTTAGTTCTTTCGAAATAGTCATCAGCCATTATTACACAATTTCCCATAATTTTCACTATTAACTTACTCACTAATCAACCAACCTTTTGCTNGGCATTTTAAATTTGGATAATATCCATTCACACTCACAATGAGTCATCTCCAAGAACTATTCTCATCACCATTCTCCAACCAACTAAAACTTTCAAAAATAGATTGTAATTGATCACAACCCAAGCCCTTACAAAGCTGGAAAAGAGAAATATACTACGTAACTTACACACAGGAGACCGAACTTTATACCGACAAATCACAATTTAAAAACATTTTTACATCCACATTTGAAACCTTCCCGAATTCGGGCCCGTCAAGGAATTTACAACTTGTTCGCACGAACACATCTGCATGCTTAACATCTAGGGTTTCCCCCCACTTCCCACACGTCTACACAGCTTCGATGACCCTTGGACCTCGGTTCTTACAAACATAACGAAATTCAAATTAAAACAAGTAAAAAGAAAAGAACGAACCGGGCTCAAGTGATCATTATGCATAAAATTTTGCCGCAAGTCGCCTCCGCCTGACATCGTCGGCCGTTACGGTGGCGGTGTGCGGCTGAGGAGACTGAGTGTTGACACAAAAAAAAATGAATTGCCCCTAAATATTGATGACGTGGGTTGTACATTAATGCCCAATTATACCCCTGCCATTTTTTTTTTTCCCGGTTCGACAGGTTGGACACGTTGGGTCGGGTACTGGGCCGAATCTGCGTATTTGGTGGGCTGGATTTTATTTATTAATTTAGTTTGCTCAGTTAAGACTGAGTTTATTGGGTTGAAGACTTGAAGTACGATGGGTGGCTCACTTAAATAATTGCATACTTCTGTTATCCACATTTTACAACACTTTTCAGTTTACTAAAATTAAAGTTTTGTAAAGCTTCAAATTTATTTGAAATTTGAATTTGTTATTGGAAATTCACCC